ATGTGAAGAAAGGTGCCCAACTAAATGGTCTTGAAATGGTTGAGTGAAGAATATAATATTCGTGCAAAGGATATAAAAGTTAGTGTGTTTTTCCCTTCTACATCGTCTGCATGATAACTTAAGGATATAGTAATTGTTTGTATAAATCTTTCCGTGTGCTAAGTATTATAAAAAAAAAGAAGTTTATAGTTTCTTCTGGGTTGATTGTTTTCGTTTTCTTCTTATACCTTTAGGAGGTACAATTTTGATGATAATTTCCCTATATTTCATGCATGTTTAGCTTGTGAAAAGGCCTCTCTCGCTTGATCTGAAACCTCAATTTAGTTTTTGTGCTGTTTTACGATTTTCTTGCCTGTTTCCCCGTGTCCTTTTCACCTTCGGGATGACGTCCTCGTGATTTATACCCTGTGCTCTATCTAGTGCCTTTCATTGTGTGCCACGAGAGAGGCTCTTTGTTCCACACAAAAGAATGCTTTATAGTTTCCCCATTTATTTACAATTTTCTCCAGGATCGCCAAAATGTAATTAACGATTTTTTTCGCCTTCTCCTTTTTGGAAAATCTCAATATTAGAGTCAACAGAGATTCGATATATGAAAAAAAAATATTTACACAACAACTTTGAGCCATCTGCTTAATATACAACCAAATTATCTGGGGCCCCTTTTCATCTCTCCAGATCGTTGAGCTTTTCTCTTTTCCCCGAAAGAAAAATGTTTATTCACAATACACTTTTTCCTCCTTCCATTTGCCGCTGAAGCATCAAATAACTTGTGTAAAATTAACTAGAGAGAGAGAAAGGAAGGAGAGTTAAGGGCAGAACAGTAGTTTTCGTGTTGCTGGAGGATTTTTACTTCCAGAAGATAAATAAATAAATCTCAACATTTGTTTTAATTATCGCTGAGAGACTAACAAGTCTCAATTGTGGCTCGCATTTGCCATGCTTAACAGAGTTGTTGTGCGAGTGGTAAACAGCTGAAATGCATGGTAACTTTTTACTCTTAATAGCAGTTGGAATCAGGTGAAGAAATTCTTGGAATTTATTATTTGGCGCCTCTAAAAAACCCAATTAATTGCTGTCTGATCACGAAATCGCTTTACAAACGACTTTACTGGCCAAAGTTTACACACTACAACTTCTCTTGTCGGTTTAGTTGAAATTGTCAAAGTTGACGAAATTATGATATTGAGTGAGTCACAAATGGAATTAGTGAGGATGTGAGAAGAGATTGTAAATTGGGAAGAAGAGAAAGAACACAATTTTACAGTACATCTTCTATGGCTAGCGACCCAATTTCAGCATGATTTAGCCGAAGAGTTCAATCTCTTTGGAATTGTTTTGGGATAGAATTTTCCATTGATTCGTGAAATGATTCGATTTAATCCCAATTTCTCCACATCCACTTGGGATTCATTTGGGATTATTCACTGAAATCATGTGTGAGATGCGAGAAAGACTTTTGTATCCATTCGCACTGGGGAAAAGAAGAGGATTTTGGGGTTGGAATTCAGTTGAGCGGACAAATTTAGGATGCTGCCGGCATAAATCTCCTGTCCTCACACTTTTGCCCCTTCAAGTGCTCCTTCTGCAGCCTCTTTTTGTCTGGTTTTTACTTGTGTCTACACCACTGATGTTTTGTGTATCACTTAAAACGTGCCGGGAATTTTGATGTCTTCTCTCTTCCTCTCTATATCGTCCTGGATATTTGCAACCGGAGCGAGGTTATCATTTGAAGGAAAAATATTGATAGTAATGCCAACATGTTGTGCGGGAAACTTTCTTTCCACCAATATAATACCTGTTGTTTTCCGAAGGGGAGCAAATTAAATTTTCCTCGAGCGTGTGTGCGGCAAGTCAGGTGAAAAGAAATCAATTGGAAGTTTCACGTTTTCTCTTCTCTAAATTTAGAATTCTCATATTGATCCTTCGCCTAGACGCATTGTTGTGGACAAACACTGGTGTGTTTTGGCATTGAATTATTAACAATTCCGTGCTGAACAGTAGTTAATTTGCCTCCTTTTTTTCCATCCAATCCCACAAACAAATTCAACTCCGACCCACAACAAAGTGTGTTTTATTAATGTCGTCACTCAAAGTGATCACAATCACACCAGAAAATTTGTCTTACCTCATCTGTGCCCAGGATGGGAGTAAATTACACCTCCTATTGTCGGTTAGGGAGGAAATGCAATTTATGATAGCCGACTTTTATATTGGCGAATTGCGTGCAATGTGATTGATGGGTGAAATATTTCAAATTGGCGCAAAAAGGAAAATCCACCCAGAGCGACTGAGGTACACGCCGAGTGACTTTAGCCTGAAGATAATATTCCCCATCATTAGGAGTAATAAATGTTGAAGAGCGCGGAGGAATGAGTGGATGGAATAAATTTGGCGTGGTGTTGACAGCAAAGGCGGTATCTTGTCATACATCTAACTTCTTTTACAGGATAGCTTTATCATTCCTCCGTGAAGCGTGTGTGCATACAGTCTGAGGCAGTGGTGTGAAGACATCGTCAAAATGTATGTTTCTTACCTCAAAGAGGAGGAATTTGTGGGAAAGCTTCAAGTATTCCAAACGTTGCAAAGATGATCTTCGTGTTTTCTCCTAATTCGATTAATTCCTCTTCTTGGAATTGAAGTAATTTTGATACACAGAGAAAGGAATTTTGAAATAAAAATCACTTCCTGGAATGAATACCAATCAGAAATAACCCTTTTTTCTACTTAACGATTTGAGCATTTTTCCTCTGCCACAGTAATTCAAATACCCTGCAGAATCGTCTGTCCTAATCCTATTGATGCCACTGTATATCAATTACCACAGTTGAAAGCTTATTGCGATGGAAGTTTTGCCAATATTGAGGGACTGTGGCAGCGACGAAGGCTCTCAAATGCCAAATAGCTCACATTGTGTGCACCTTTCAAAGGCATATGGGAAAAGTTGACAGAAATGTGCCATAAGTTGTCAATATATTTTAAGAGAAGTCTCTCTCTCTCTTGCTGATCCTGACACTTCCATCCCAGCTAATATGGCTCTGAGATTCTCCCGGTGTGAGTCTCCACATGACAAGGGTTCAATCTTGAGGCTGTCATATTCCCCAAACTACGATGTGTGGCAAAGTGGGAGAGTTTGAAATTAAACAACGTTTTGTGCCGGATGTTGCACAACACTAATTTCAATCTCACCGAAAAATCCACGATGCGGGCGCTACTGATGGACTCTGTGTGTGCTCTTTGTCTGGCAATCATCTGTGGTAATGTGAGAGATTTCATCTCGCCGTGGCTATTTGATTTCTATGCATGGTAATCGCCTCAATTGAGTGTAATTTCGTGGAGTCCTCATCATTTTATCATTCCATGGCAGGAGCGAAAGAGGGGCGACTTAAATCAATCTCTGGATGGTCAATGTTCATGTCATACGCTCAAAAACGTCTTTTCTCTGCATCTCTCGCTTTGGCCGCTGAAATCCATTATGGGATTATAAGTTCTATAATTTTCTCCACCTCACATTCACTGCACAATCGCACATTAAATCTCATTTTTGAGTGCTTTATGTATGTTTTCCTCCCATTCACTCTTGTGGACGTCTCGAAGAATGGTGTCTCTGGGTTTTGATGTTTTCATATACGTCTTCTGGGGTTTATATTTTGTGAAACGGTTCTCTGCTGATGTTGTCTCCATTATTCACTTTTTTCCTCCTCTCCATCCATCGTTCTCCTCGTGTGAAATGTGAACATTATTCCATTATCCTGTCCATATCATCACCCGTATTATTTGTCTGTCAACCTCTCCTTTTGCTACTCCACGGGCGCGCTCTCAAGGAGCCAGAGGGAAATGCTCGCGTAGTCAAAGACCTCTCGCAGTCTTTTCTGCATGTAGATGACAAGAAATATTAATAAATGCTTCTCCTTGGGAAATGATATCACATCAACAAAGTGTCGAACTTGTGGGTGGGGAAGAGAGAGAAAGTCCTCCAGGGTGTGTTTCCATTCCTCCTCTCGCAACAGCACATGCCGAAGAGACTGTGTGGGGTTGGGAGGGTGGCATAAAATGTAAACCGCGAATAAAAGCCATTTTCTTTTTGTGTGCACGCATTTGCTGCGGAGGGAAAACTTTAATGGAAGTATTTCGCTAGCCTCAGGGCAATGCCAAGAGAGAGAATATTGCTTTTCTTGCTTGTCGAATGGAGTGAGAAAAGAAATTCTGCTGCGCGTTGATATGGTTTGAGAGAGGCAGGAGGTGGGAAAAAAATGATACGAAAATGCCCAGAGCCAGAGAAGAAGAAGAAAAAAAAACCCTTCACAAACCCTCAGTGGGAGGAGGAGGAGGGTTTTCTTGTTTTTCATACGTAGAAACAGCCCAAGATTCACTCCTATTCGTTGTGTGTGTGTGCCTTTTGTAACAAATTGCTTTACACCCAGGAGATTGTGTATCTTAACACGTTCTCAGGCTCTGGGTGGGAATGCCAATTTTATTGAGAACCTTTTTGTAACATTATTTTAATGCATTTTGCCCCAGAGATGGGCGAATTTATCTCATTCTGAACTTTACACCTCGCTTTTTATGGGCGCGCGCTTTCAACATTTCCTCTCCTTCCCATGTGCATTTTGTGAATGTGTATTTAGACAAAATGTCACTGATATTCCTGTAAATTGTCCATCACACTTTGAGCGCCACTCTGTGGCTCTGTGCAGCAAGGGTAGATAGGAAGAATGTGTCCCTAAGACTCTCAATGTATATCACTTCTGACCATCTGTATCTCCCCATTGCTTTGCAGATTTATCCAGGAACTCACCGTACTGCTGAAGTGTGAACAGTGCTCGCCGCAAGTACCATCCACTTGGCACGCCTGAAGTGGTGACACGGATTTTTTGCGCCGAATAATTCGAAAGGAAGAATTTCATTAGAGTGCCGAGCGCATTGCGAGTGCGGTGGTGAGTGCAGAGATAGTTTTATGTGAAATGCTTGGGGCGATAGTGCGGAGTGTGGCGCCGAAGATGGCCACACGGATCCTGCTGCTGAGCCTCCTCTGGGCATGGACATGGGCCGAGCCGGCCAACTATCAGAGCGACGGTCAGATGTGGGCATCGCCGCTGGCCACGCTGGACATTGGCTCGTCGAGATGCCCTCGCCCGTGCACGTGCAGCGGCGAGACGGTGGACTGCTCCCACAGGGGACTGTCTCAAGTGCCACGAAAGCTCCCCATCGACACCGAGAGACTGTAAGTATAACTCTTCCTCTCCTGCGGGGGAATTTTTAATGGCACTTGCCGGAATTAGATAGAGATCGCCGTCATGTTGCGAATGTCGAGGAGTGGCCGAAAGAAGACACACCAAATTTAATTACATCAATTTCAACTATTTCCTCGTGTAAACAATGTCGCTATCTGGCCTTTGATATCAAATGCGAGATAGAGTTCCTGGGAGAAACTATAGGGGAAGACAGGGTCTTGATGAACTTAGGAAGTGACAAAGAATTCTAAAATCTGCCCGAAAGCAAAGATTAACTATTGAGAATTCCATAGAAATTTAGGCCGAACGGAAGTCTTTTATAATCTAATGGGCATTGAAATCTGCTTATCTCTATTGTCTATCGATAAAATATCTCTCTCTCTCTCTCTTGCTGGACAATATATAGTGCGAAATCCGTGGTAGTTTTAATAGCGGATGTGTCATTAGCAGTGGCATAAATTCTGGGCTGTGTTGTGTGTGAAAATGCTATTTGGGCACTTTTTATGTTGGTCAGTTGTGTTGCGGCAGAGATTTTGTCACTTTCAGGATCGACAGCGACCCCGTAAATCAGTCAATCGCCAATTTAACCGCGCTCTTCCTCCACAATATCGTATTGTTTCAATTGCCATGCAACGAGCACATGAAATCCCATAAGTTCGCGCGTACAATAGCCGGGCGCCCCATAATCGATTTCATACTCATCATATTCGAAACATGTGATGGTCGTGTGGAGTATTTAGTGTGGGTTTGGGCGACAAGTGTGGTGAAAAGTTTCGCGTTTTACCATGAAATTCTCGCTTTCCTCCCAGCACGCATTATTAATGTCTCCCCCGCGCCAAGCGTCCGCCCTTCCGGGCGGGGTGACCCTTATTGTTTCACATAAACTGGCAAAAACCATTCAATCCCAGGGAGTACAATCTCCCACTCACTGCCACTTTCGGCGCGGGGTTGCGAGCGAGAGTGAGATGTATTCATCCTGAAAACACTGTTGACAACTCAATCATGCGAAAGTTAAATATCGCCCAGGCAATAGTGCAAGGACCCCTCATATACATACTTTTGGGTGCTTTTGGGTCTGTGGGGGCGCGCCGATTTGATATACGCCAACGCCAAGCCACACAGGGAAGCGAAAATTTGCATTGAAAAGCACTTTTGGATGTTTTATGATTATTTGGAGCTGCTCATGCCGTGTATGTGTGGCACTTGAGCCACTTTCGACAAATTCACAGGATCGCTCGCGTCTTTGGCTTGCAGAAAATCCCCCAGTCAGCGACATTTTCGCAAAAGGCATTGTGCCACGACCAGATTGACTATGGGTGGCGCGAGGAGGAAGAAAAAATCGGAAAATTACGAGATATTATGTCGTTGGCAGACACACACTTTGCTGGGAAATCTCATGCTGTGTGTTCTTCTGCGGGAAAATGTGAAAAAGCGGCAATTTGCCATTGTCCTGGGTGGCGTAGGAATTGAAAAGCCGGAGCAAAAGTGTCCCAGAATGGGGATGAGATGAAATGCCATATGATATTTCCAGCAATCTTGCATTCTTCTACAGCCTTTTGCACGGCAGCCGATGGAGACGCCTGGTGGTTGCATTTGCATGAAAAACAGTACGAAATGAGGAATGCAGAAGTCAAGCAATTTCTAATCTCCTCCTTCACAGCTCCTTCAAAACCCACCCAGTCTGTCAATGCACGAGTCACTTGACTTGTGATCCTTCCTTTGTGGCGAATAAATTCATGCAATTTGCCTGGCTTCTTTCGCCAGCAATGTGCTTCTCTGGGAGATCTTGATTTTCTCTGGGAGACTGTGGGTGGTCAGGTGTGGGTGCATTCTTCTGTTTATACGTTATTGCTGTGCGAGGAATGGCACAAGTTGGCGCAGTTGTAAAGAAATAGTTTTCCATACACTTTTGTTACTTTGACGTCGAGGGAACAACAATTGTTTCCTTATTGTTTCCTCATGCCAGAAATGGGTAGCGCGCCCTTTGTTGTCAATTGACGAACGTCCAAAAGTGTGCTCAGGCGTACTTTTGCACTGCTTCGCAGCATGGGCTGCTCAGGCTTTCTTTGTACTCCGCACGGGAGTCTTCCCCGGGCCAGAGAGAAGTCTCTTGATTGTCAAATTCAGCGGAGAACTGTAGGGAATGGACGTGCTGCGATATGTTAACTGGAACATTACCCAGGAAGTGCGGCATTATAGTTTGGGAGGTTCGTTTATGTTTGTTATATAGGCCGAAATTATGCAGTATTTCTGCTGCAGGGTGTAATTATGATGTCGGGTATTAATTTGTGTGCCCCAATTGGAATAAATATAAATGCTATCGGTGTTGCGAGAGGTGAATGGTGTGGCCATCGGAAGTTGTTGAATAACATCCCACTTGCCCACTTGCCTATGAATGAACTGTCTCGTCTCCCTATCTCTCTCTCTCTCTGTGTGCGGGATAGTGAATCTGCCTGGCAGATCTCATTCGGCGATAGTGCCATAGTCCTCCAGGGCCTCGAAGAGGCGAATGAAGGACGACGTGCAATTACTGTGTGAAAAGGGGTGTCTCAAATGCGACGGGGTTCGACGTTATCAGATGGCAATTCTTAAGCACAATGAGGAGTGTTCAACATCCAACCGAAATTGAAGATTACTCCAGTGAATTGGACAATTATTATAGAAAACGTCTCGTCCACATGCTATCAAAAGTGACAACAATTTGGAGTTAATTTACCATTCAATGAAAGAGGGGAAGTGCAGAGGACTTCATATTCAGCCTCAGAATTGCACTAGGAGCTAGTGCCGAACAATGGGACTCTGTGGTGGATCACGGGCTCAAGAACATAAATAATAGATTGCATTAACACTGGGTGAGGAGGAGAAGTTCTGTGCTCAAGAGTAATCGCCTCTCTGCTTTATTGTCATCCTCGTTTGTGTGACTCTTTTTTTTCAGGGTGAAAAACATTAATGATAAACAAGATTCAGCACACAGACACACTGTACCTGTTTTTAATAAACGCCTCCGGGACAACCACAGAGAGTGTGATAATTAAATGCACTGAATAAATAACCTGAGGTTGCATTCAGACTTTTTCTGCCACCAACAAAATCGTCAGTTGCACTAGCCACTGCTTAAGCGCGCCCATTGTCGTCCTCAGTGGATTGAGAGAGCATGCAGATAGAGTAATGGGTGATGGAAGTGACCATGCGAGAAGTGTAAGAATTTTATTGACTTAAAATTATCATACAACATCTTACCACGTTGTGTGGACATAATATGATAATCGATTTGTTAATTTTATGCATGTAAAAAAGGACAAGAGTGTGTGGAAAAAGTGGCCAATTAACGGACAATTGCTTGAGGCATCGACAATCACAGAAGAATTTCAATCAATTCTCACTGCGTGTGCCATTTAACACAACCGATATTCCAATAGTGTTCGAGCAGAGAGTGATATAAGGTGCCATTATATACAAAAGTCTTTCACGGATTTGTTCTCTTATCTTGATTCCACCGCGCGCGCTGAGAAGATATTTTGCCGTGTGGCATAAATGCATGAATTTGGAAGATGAGAAGGTGAAACATGCGATGAAAAAGAACTCTTGATCACGAATCAACCTCTGAACTGGCAGAGAAAAATAATGCCCAAACTCCTAACACAATTATTACTCGACATGCTTATTAATTGGTCGTGGGAAAATTGCTCTATACATAGCAACCATCGTGTTATTGAGGGCATACATAGTCCGCCATACAATTGATCCTTTTCTGCAGGGGCTGCGGAAGAGAGAATAATGCGTTGACATCCAGAGTCACGCTTGCATGTGCTGTGGAGGGACAATTATAAGCATAATCGGATTATGTCAGCTCTTTTAGGCATATATGGCAGTGAATCATACATATTGTTCCAAAGAGAGGTCGACGGGTTATGATAATTTGGATATCCTTTCTTCTTTTCGCCATCCATATACACAATATTCCGTATTTGTTGCACAAAATTGGCCTTTTATGCAATGTGCTGCAGCGCCATAGTGTTGTAGGATTATGTACACTGTATTACATACAAAATAGCAAATCACTGCAACCGGTTTTTCGGTCACACATACAAAATTGTGTGTGTTTGCATGGAGAGGAAATGGCATGCAAGATGTGGCGAAAAATTGCTGCTCCGCCACTCGTCCTTCTCCATCTCCTTTTGGCATTATAAAGTGCATGTGGTGCGATGACGGAGTTGCAATTGAAGCCCCTATTGAGACACCACGGCTTCATCATGATGGCAAAACATGTTCACTGTCGATCGCCTTTATATTGTTCTCCGTTCCATCGCACGGCGCAAATCCCTATTCCGCCATGCGAGCTCATGAGAATTTTATCCATGAACTCCCAGAGTTCAAGCATGCATCGGGAGAGCTTTAAAGCTTGAGGGCAATTAAAATTCGCTCCGTGTATTGTTTTATGTGTACATTATCCAATATGAGCACTCTCGAACTCAAGATCATCCATCTGCAGCATTTCACATAAAATTTCGCCCATGCTCGCGAAGAGTTTAAAAAGTATCCACTTAAGCTCCTCACTATTACATACAGTGTCCATTGAAAGATTTGCATTTCTGCTTCACTCAGCACTTTTATAAATACACACATTCTCTCTCCCTCTCTCCGCGTTCAGGGTTGCACACAGAGCATTGTTTCCACTTGGATAAGACATTCGCTTGATTGACGGACTAAACGTCTGAATTTCAAGATGTTGCATCTCTTTGTGATACAACTGAAAAACCAACAATGTCTCTCGAAGCCTTTATTTGACATCCTCCTGTTCGGTGTGTTGGATAGCAATAAATAATGCTCACGACTTTAAATCATAGTCACAAATTGCTGACGTGAAAACTCCTTGACTCACTGCAAAATTACCTCGCACAGTCCCTTATCATCCGAATGGGTTTTAATGTGATTTATTAGTTAGGCAAGAGAGTAAATTACGTACATGAGGGCCAGACGGTGGCAATTG